TTGGGTTGTCTTTGTCTTTGTAAAATTTTTGTTTCATAAAAAATGTGCAAAGAAGGACAGTTGTAGATAACTCAATCAATCTGGGGGTCTACTTAGTTTGGACTTTATTAAAAATAATAATTAAAATAATAAAATAATAAAATAATAAAATAATGAAAAATAAAAAAAAAATGTGGTTGAATTACTGTAAAACTAGTCAAAGAGTTTAAGAAGGATTGGAAAATGTTGAATGGGATTAAAGTTTGAAGGGAATTAGAATTTCTTTCGAGTTCTGTGGATTTAAGCCTATAAATATAGCCCTATAGAAACACAAAAAACATAAATACAGAAGAACATAGCAGTAAAAAACATAAAGATCAGAGAGAGAGATCAACAGAGATAAAACACATAGAGAAATAGGGAGAAAGGCAATAAAGATCTACGAAAATAGTCTGAAGATTTTGGGAAATTTTAAGGTTAAAAAAAAGATTTTTTTTGAAAATTTTCTAGAAAATTTCCAGTTTTTCGATAAATTTTTCGGCATTGATTGAATTTTTCGACAAGTTTTTCAGCATTGGTTGAATTTTTTGGCATGTTTACCAGAATCTGATTGAAGATTTCGACACTGATAGAATTTTTCGACAAACTTTCGGTGAACCAACCCAAATTTCGATGGGATTTCCAGAATCCACTGAAGGATTCAATCGGAGTTCATCCGAGTTAGAGAGATAGAGAAAAAGAAAGGGGAAGAAAGAGAAGGGGAAGAGGAAATCTAGTTGAAAAGATCAGATCCAGTCTTTTATACTAACCCCAAAATGATGTTGTTTTAGCATTTAATAAGCTCCAAGATTCGCATGTTTTTATTTGACGACTTGACCCGATCGCAACCTGATTTGTCAACTTGCGTCCCAACCAAACCTTGCTGTTGAATTGAGCCCAACCGATTTTCCTCTGAGTCACGTTTCAAGCTGTTGTCTGTACTTATAGCCGAGCCGATCTCTAGCCACATAGCCAAGCCAAGCCGAATTTTTGGTATTTTATTTTATTCTTGTATTTTTATTTATTTATTTTTAGGGTTTTAGTATTTTTATATAATTAAATTAAAAAAAAAGGAGAAAAAATTGTAAAAAAATAAAATATTTTTTTAGAATAAATAATAATTATTCAATGATAAAATTTTTTAGAAATTTCAAATGATAAATTTTTATAAAATTCCTAAGTGAAAAATTTTGTCTAAATTTATCTCAAATGGTAGAATAATTTAGATAAAATTTCAATAACAATAGTTAATATTTATTTTCAAATAAAAAAATAAAAAATTAAAAAAATAAAAAATAAAAATTTTTGGTTAAAAATATTTGACGATTATCCAAGGATAAAAATATTAGAAATTTCAAATGAAAAACTTCTTAAGAAATCTCTAGGTGAAAAAATTCTTTAAATTTGTCGTAAATAGTAGAAGAATTTAAATAAAATTCAAAAACAAAAAATATTTTTAATTTGACCCAAATGGTGAAATAATTAGATGTATTTTCAATAAAAAATAATTAAATCCTTTTTTCCGACGATGGAGCTTCTTCAAAAAAATCAAATAGGATTCTTGAATACTCTTGAGGTGAAGAAATATTTTTAAAAATTCTACCAAATTGATGGAGAATCTTAAAAATTATTTTTAATATTTAACATAAAAATTTAAGACCATTAAAATCAAGACTTTATGATAAATTTAAAATAATATTATATCATTCTTCGGATGGACATGTGAGAGTGTTATAACCTTCTTTATATATAACCAAACTCTCGAACCTTATTCTGGTTTATAAACTCGAACCTATTCTTTTAGGGACATTTAATTAAGTTTAGGAGTTCCTTAAAATAATAGATTCTTTAGGTAATCAATCACACCTAAATAAAAAAAAATTGTGATAATATTTTTTTGTTAAATCTAATTATAAATTTTTGGATCTATATGTTATGACAAACATGAAGTACTATTTCTGACTTGACAGAGGTTTAATTGCTTTGTCATGGATATCTTTCACTGCCTACCAGTGACTGTAATCCATGACGGATAATTCCACCTTGCTCACGGCTGTTGAGAATAGCTCCCACCATGAATAACAAACACCCAATTAAGAACGGGATGTGGACACTCTGTTGCAGGATTTGGACATGTCCATCTGCTCTCTCATAGATTTGACACGAGTTGTGGATGGAACCAAGAATCCACAAAACAGGGCCAGCAATAAGCATCCCCAAAGCATGCCTCTCCAATTTTAAAAAATCATACCCTTTCTCTGCCTGCATTAATTAACAAAGCATGAGAAAGTTCATTTGCCAATGTACTAATCAGACCAAATTCAAATTTTGCCTACCAAATGAACTTTTTGAGGGATTCCATTAAGGCTAAAGGTATAAAATACGCTACCTGAATAAACAGAAAGAGAATTCCTATGAAGAGAAGCAGTGAACCTAAGAGGTGAACCACTGGAACAGCGAACTCCACAAGAGCAAGCTCCGTATAGAACTCCATCAAAGGCAACCTATAATCAATTCCCGCAAGATGTGCGAAAATATCATGGACGTTGACAACAATTATAAGAGTCAGGGCTATAAGCATTAGAACGAGACCCGGTCTGGGTTCCCACGAGAACTCAGTAGCAAAACCACAAACTAACACAATTGTAGCAAACAAATGCAGCCCTGCGTTTATGTACTCGGCTCTGCTTCTAACGAGCAGTGGCCCGTACGTTCGACTCTCTCTCGCTGAGGCTAGCTTCACCATGATTGTTACGCTGGAAGTAGGATATTAAAATTTCCGATATGCAGCGATCCAAGTTTTTTTTTTTTTTTTTTTTCTACAAAGAAGTAAAACAAAATTCTTTTTGAGAAAAAATGTAGTTCTTATATGTACTTTTTCTGTTTTAGCGTAATGATCTGTTCTGCTTCTTGCTGTAGATCATTCTTTACATTTTTGTGTTCGAAGAGACGAATTGAGATTTGAAGAAGCGGTTTGAAAGTATGAGAGAGAAGAGGCTGAGTGTGTACGTGTCCTCATGCATGAAGCTTTCTTTCTGTAACACGTGGCAGCCCACTGAGTAAAGGAACTGTTTGGTTAAACGGTGCGTTTAATCAGTGTTCGATTAAATCCGGGTGCGAGAGTTTTGAGCTTGTAGGAAGGCGTAGGAAGCGCTTAATTTTGTTGTAATTTTACGTTGTGTAAGTGATTTCTGAAGAGAGTCAACGATGAAATAACAAATCGCTATTTAATTGCTTCAAACTCACTTTTATTAGAAGCAAAACTGACTTTTATTTGTTTTGACATTTTATCGGTTTAAGAATCAAATTCTGGTCGATTAAAAATTTAACATTCTACATTCGACAAAATTAAGGTCAAGGAGTTGAAGTGAATTCAGGGAAAGAAATCCCAAGACATGGAATTCAAATATGTCAGGTTATATATATTCCAATTATGCAATACAAGGTCAAGGGGACTTTGAAGGCCTGTTCTTCCAAGCCACTCTCCCTTGGTAACAAGTAAACTAAAACTAAAGGAGCATGTTTTCTTGTCTTCCTTTCTACTAGTTGTTTTCTTTTCACTTTTTTTTTTGTTGGTTTTCACTCTGATTTTTTGTTCAATTTATATTTAATTTGTTTTGTTATATTTTAATTTATTAATTAATATATTTATTTGATTATTCAATGATCATAATAATTGATTATGATTGTAATTTATACTTCTAATTTCATAAAAAAAATTGTGTATCCTGCACTCTATAACTCGAGCATAATGTCCTTTATTCCTAAAACTAGTGGCCTGTATACATTGGCAACATAGTGCTTCTAAATTGAGATTTTGCAAACCAAAAAAAAAAAAAAAAGAATTTAAGATTTTGACTTGTCTTTTCTTTGGCTTGCGTGGCTGTGAATCATTAGACATTGTGTCAGTGACATTTGCGTTGCATTTGTCAATGTAGAATGAGTTCTATAAGCATATTCTTTGTCACAATACGCTTTATACTTAAAAAAAAAAAAAAAAAAGGTTCAAATGTCTGATGACAACGATTAGCGTGATAATAAATAATGTTCGCTGCCGCTTTTGGATTGGTACCAAAAGTAGTGTTGATTGTTGTCTCTAAACGTAAGATCAGGTCTCTGTTCTTTATTTTAAGGTTGTTTTGGGGCTGGTCCCTCGTCCATTTCACGAAATGCCAACTATTCTATTAAATGTAATCTAAGAGTGTTCTGCATTCTCTACTTTCACTCAATAAATACGTAACAATATAGAAGTCGAGTGTTCCTATTGACTACATGTTACATGTATACTTACAGTTTGTACAGAAAACTGATACTAGTAATTAATAATGGTAATTAACAGCATTTAATATTATGAACTCAGGTAGCAGCGCAACCTGCTGGGAATTTGGATAAATGGATGAACTCATTTTTTCCTTTTCTCTTTCTCATTTTGGGTGCTGATAGAACTTTTAAAGCAATGAACTGCTGAAGAGTTTTGCATTTGGCAGTACTCAGTGGCATCTACGCGTTGATTTTCTTTGTACTTAATGTAGAAACAGAAGCGTCTGATCAGAAGGGGTTTTTTTTTTTTTTTTTTTAATTATTATAATGTAAGTCCAGTTTTCGCATTCGATTTTACCCATTGCTTTTGTTAAGAGGTTGGAGTAATTAATTATGTGAGCCTCTCCTTATCAGTGCATTTTGCATAATTGGATGGCACTTTGGAAGAAATGGAGATTCAAGACAGAGTAAATCAATTCTTTTAATGGCATTGATACTTAGCCAACAACGGTTTACTCTATTGATAGTGTGTTGAACTCCTGCATTCTCCTAACAGCCTTCAATTTAAAAAAAAAAAAAACACATTTTATTTTGTCACTTTCACCCTTCTCTGAAGGTTAACTTTTATTTCGTTCGGATGAGAAAATGTGTATAAAGAACTATCATCCTGTGCAGGGGAAAGGAATATTCTGATTTCTGATCATACCTTAAAGCCATATTCTTCAGCTCTTTCCATTGATATTTTCGTTGGTCACGTGCTGCATTTGTTTGGATTTCTCCTGGTTGTTCTGTTCTAAATCCCATTTGCTTGGTTCTTCCATAATTCCTCTTTTCCTATATTTGCCGTACAGTCCAAGTTGCAGGATGCCTAAGGGGAGACCAACCACATTTGGGGACTGCCATAATTTATAAAGTCAGTAAGAAAAACAGAAGCTCAAGTTTTTCTCTGTCACAACGAAGTTCATAAGCCATAATACAAACCGCAAGAAGGAGATCATGACTCAATAGTCCATAGGCCAGCCAAAGTACACTAGCCAGGAACGAGAAAAAGGATAAATAGAATGGCATGAATTCCACACTCTTTGTCATTATAACTTGTTTCTGCAATTAGAAACAGAATTCAATTACAACACCAAGAAGACATGAGCCAGATGAAAAACTCTTTTTTTTTTTTTTTTTGTTTGTTTACAGGGAGAGATGGTGAAGTTTCCCTGTTAAGTGTTAGCTGAAGCGGAGGAAAAAAGATGGCTTACCACAACCACAAGTGGAGCAGCATACATTGCCACAGAGGCTACCAGTCCAACAGTTCCAACAAAAACTTTGCGATGATGATGATCATGGAAAACTAAAGCTGAGATTATTGCAGTGATGGAGAACAATAGGATAACGGTTGTCGCTATAACACCAGCCTTAATCTGCACTTTCATCAAGCTACGTAATTGTTAGTTCCTTCTTTAGGCATGAATTTTACATGCATGGAAGGATATAGACACCAATCCTCATTTTTCTTCATTCCGTATAAGAAAGGTGTCCATGCTCTTTTCTCCATTTTCTTCATCACCACACACACACTCACACAAAAACTAGAATTGCATGCATGTAACAAGATAATTAAATGTAAAAGCAGGACTAAGAAGCTTGCCTTTCCTCTGGTTGGAGCAAACCAAATATATATGAAGATGAAGGATAACTCTAATATTATCCCTAAACTGTTGATGGTAATCACAGGGAAATTTTCCCACCTGTAGCTCACAACAGGCAATCCATACCAAGTATAAAGGAGGCAGTTTGACAGTGCAACAATGTAAGGAACGCATGAGAACTCCTCAGTGCTTCTTTTCCTTAACACCCTGGAAAAAGTCAAGCTGGAACAGTACAAAAACAACAAACATTTGTTTAAGTTGAATGATCATCATCGCTTATCTAAAATCAATGAAGCTCTCTGTAAATAAAATAGTAGTAAATATAAAACAATAGCTGTGAAGTGAATAGAATATTGACATTACATGGGTGCTGCATAAAGCAACAAAGAAGATGCATTTCCTGCAAGAAGACCATGCAGATTTTTTTATATCAGCTAAGTTTTCCGCTAAACATATAAATCCAGCAGAGCAAAATGGGGAAACAATAGGAAGCATATAGTATACCCATGACTCCAACGGCCAGGCGCAGCCTATCACCCATGATTTTGCCCTTGGACAAGAAAATGTAAATACCAGGGATTGTTTAATCAGTATGCCTTGTAGATTGTTTAACAAACTTCAGGGGATATAAATACATGGAAGATGTTGGATTTCTTTCAGAAAAAAAATAGGAATAATATAAAATTGAGAGAATAGCAAGTGCTGTATACGTCTTTACATAAACTTGTGGACGGCACTAGCTTGCTCTAATGTGGAACTTTTGTCACAATTTGTTTAATGAAAAAAAAAAGTTTCCTCTAATTGTATTGTTTGGTTTGATAATAAGGTCAAAGGCAAAATACTAAAGGAACTATTCGCTGTTGTGGCAACTTGTTGTGAGTGGAAGATGTCACTGCCACTTCCATTATAACCCACTTGATATGCAAATTTCTTAGCATAATTAGTTGTTTAGTCATTTAATATAACTATTCTTGCATAATTAGTTGTTTAGTCATTTACTGTAAATATTCTTACCACTTGGTATATGGCTGCTGACTGGCTAAAATAAATGTAATAAAATGAAACAAAAGAATTGATTTGAAACTAGACATAGACATGCATGTCTTGAAGTTAATTTATTACCTACATCGTGGTTTCCGGAACTAGGAACATTGTGGTTTCCGGAACTAGAAAACACCTCTGCCACATTTACTTTTTACTTTATGCTCTAGTTAATTAAGTTTGCAAATTTCTTAACCATAAATGTTACATTACAATTATAATTTAAAATTATGATTTATATTTGATCTACTGATAATATATAAAATTTATACTATGTTATTGAACTACAAACTGTCATATATTAGTGATTAAATTTAAATGATTTATATTTGATGCACTATTAGTATAAAAATTTTATATACTATCAGTAATACATTATCATAATTATTTTATTAATGAGGTGAATTGAATGATGTCTTTTTATTTATAAGTACTTAAAAATACATTAATTTTTTGTATATTTATTTTAAGAGTTGATAGTTATTTATTAATTTGATAGCATCCGATATACTGATAGTGTATAAAATCTAAATATTAGTAAATTTAATTCTAAAAATTAAAAGTCTTTTCAATTTTAATGAAACAAATATAAGTAAGAAAAAAAAAACTTAATCACTTGCAAAAATTGTTTCTAATATGGACATCTGGAATTACAAAAATTGCATCCTTATATGAAAAATATTGAAGAACAATGATGTGATTAATTATATCATGTTCTTCGCAAGGCTTCTGAGATTAGCATTTATTTATTTATTTTTTCAGTTTCTCTTCCATTCTTCAAATTCACAACTCCTTCGAATCTCAACGCTCTTTCTATCTTCACTCATCACCCATAGCAATCATAAGCAGTACTTGATCCTCTTTCAGGCCAAAACAAATATATTCTATTTCAAATCAAAGGAACGGTAGTGTATAAGATCATTGAGTTTTTGTTTGATACTGCAAATTTTGGGTTGGATTAGAGTGAAAATTAGGGCTTGAGAGAAGTTAGCAGATTAAAAAATAAAAAAAGTAAGCGAAAGAGAAGAAAAGAAGTTGGATTTTATGGTTAGTATTAATCGGTGTTAAGACTCAGAAGAGAGGCGATACAATTAGGGCTTAATTATTAATTAGTTTTCCTAATTAATCGAACAATAAAAGTTGATTTTAATTTATTTATAAGAATTTTTAAAATTTTAAATTTTTTATTGATTACGTGGCTACTTTTGATTTAATAACAGTGCATAATAGTATCAGTATATTAAATATAAAATTTTAAAATTATGTAAAATTCACCTAAATATTTTCTAAAGTCTAGATTTATAGATGGTGACTCCACATAGTCCTTTGTTTATAATTGAAAGATTATAATAAAAAAACAATACAAGTGAATTGATTAGAGATTAGATATGAATGTTTTAATAACTAGACACAAAGTCGAATCGGTTTTGTGTTCACTTCTTGGTTCAATCGGGATTTTTATATTTTTATAAATTTTTAAAAATAAAAAAAATTTGAAAAAAATAAAGAAATATCAGAAAAATAAAAAAGATATAACCCTAAACAATTAAAAAAAATACTTAAAACATAAATTAAGGTTCCATTTGTTTCCCAAAAATCAGTGTAAGAAAAATATTTTTTAAAAAAATATTAACATTTCTCGAAAAATGAGATATATTTGTTGTTTGGATGGCTTAATAATAAATATTTTCTATTTGGTTTTTTTTTTTAATTTTGCATTTTTTCAAAATAGTAATGTTGACATTTAATAAAATTTGTTATTAAGATATTGAAAATATTTTTGATTAAAATATTAAAGATAGTAATATTTTAATAATAGCTTTTATTATTAAAATATTAAAACTATTATATTAATATTAAAACATTTTTTAAAAATAAAAAATACAAAAATTATTTTTAAAAGTCAATTTCTACAAAAACAAACAGCTATCTAAATATAAAAAACTCAACTAATTAACCTAATATAGCACAATAAAAGGAATAACATTCTAAGCTCTTGCCTTTTAGGCTTAGTTTTGGGCTCGATAGTTTGTTATTTAATTTGGTTTTGATATTAATATATTTTATGAATTGAGTTAAAAAAATCTAAAAATTTTGTAAATTTTGAATTTTAAATGATTTAATTTAATTTTTTCAATTTAAATGGTTTTTGATTTTTTTCAAATTTTAATGCTTTGTACTTGATTCAACTCTCATCCGGTTTTTATATATTTCAAAATTGAATTACTTTCTAATTTTCGATTTAGCCGATTGGTTTAGTTCAATTTTGACAACATTGCTAGACATGAACGTGCATGTTGAATTTATTTTCCTATACAAAATAAAGAAATTTGAAATCACTTAAGCAATTATTGCCTCTTTATATAGGAAGGATTTAATTATATTAGTATAAAATTAATTTCGTTTTACATCATTTCATAATTTTTATATGATTTATATTTATTTAATTTGATCATTGTATTTCATAATCTATTCATGTACATCATACATGCTAAATTTCAAATTAATTCAAAATATATAGTTATATGTTTTATATTAAAAATTTAACCATTAAATATATAAAAATAGAATTTTTGATTAATATAAAAAGGTTATTGAATTGATTTAAAATACGATTATATTTTATTAAAACATTAATCGTACATAAAATTATAAAGGAATGTAAGACTAACTAATTTTACCCCGTTATAACTTATCCTTCGCCGAAAGTTTTCTCAACATGTATATTATATGTTAAAAATATATGGGATTGACAATAATGTGTTGAAAGAAGTGTTGTTTTCATGGACAATTTGTAAACGAAAGCTCCTCATGCAAACTGAAACATGTGGCTGCTTGCATATATTGTATTATAAAGCATAATTGGTGCAGTGTAGGGTACTCCCAATGACTGATATATATATATATATATATATATATGTATGTATGTATCTTGATGTTGACTGATTGAATACGACAGTAGTGCTACTGAATAAGAAGTAATTAATATCTCAGGCTTCCAGTTTTACTAAAGACAGCATGAATTTATGAATTTTATGCTTAAATTTGCCTTGAAAAAAAAAAAAAAAAAAACCCAGTTTAATCAGAATCTCATTTGTCTTGAAATAACAAGTCGAAAGACCCAAGTGATGATCAATATGGATTGGTTCTTAATGGCTAACAATTCCATTCAAACAATTTGACCCTAGAATATCTGTATCCAGACATTTACAGGAAAATGAAGAAAGTGAGCATTATTCCCATTCTCACATTACAATGGTTCTTAATTAGAACAAGAGATGAGAAGCATTTTTCTTTTTTGGGAGATCAGAATCATTCTTACTCATGATATGATGTTAGCGGGCAGAGCAGGTATTCTTTTGGAACAAAACAAACAAGAAATTTATTCCAAACGTGACCTTACAGTATTATTTGCTCATTGTTTTAAGCATCTTCTTATTGTGAAGGAAATTTATCAGACGATGAGAAAGACATATTTAAGGGAGGTTTATGCCCCAGTCAATTTGCACGATCGATCCGTTTTGCTCCCATTAAACAATGTTTTTTTTGTGATGAAAAAGAGGAACATTTATTATGATGGTGATCTCATCTTTCTTTTCGTTGGTGTCTTCCTTTTTGTTTTTTTTTTTTTGGGTTTTTTTTTTGTTTTTTGTTGCATGTATATGACATTAAATTCGTTTAAAATGTTAAAATATTTTCAAATTACAGTAAAGGAATGAATATTAATTGATTAAAAATATGCGTTAATGAGAAATTAATGATTAAGAAGTGATACGATAGTTTTGTAAAGATTTTAAATCAAGGAAATTGATTTAAGATGTGAGATTGGAGAAGCTTTTAATATGCAGCATTCGAATGCTAATGTATGGGAATTCCAATATCATGTGAAAATTATTTCTGTTTCAATTTTACGTTAAAACATTTAAAACGATTATTTTCATTCAGTCCCATTTATAAGGTATTATTTTATTCGTAAAAGATTGTAAATGACACTTGTGAAATTTCAAAAGGTATGAACTCAATGAAAAGATAAAATTGATTAAATTAGTCAACTTGATTTTGATCTCTATAAAGAGAGATATCATAAATTATTTCAAGAAATTTTTTTTTTGAAAGACTTGAACAAAAACGACAAACTAAATTGTATATCTCATAATTCTTGGATCGGTTCTAAGAAAGGTTAAAAAAGATCATGTTAGGTCATGTTTAAAATTTTCTTACGTCACTTATTTTTATCAAAATCAACCTTTTTATTTAATTCTTTAACTCTCATATCATTTTTATTACTTGTATCCATGTCTTTCGTTGTTTATCTCTAGAAGTTTTTATCTCTCTTAAATTCAAAAGTTTATTTTTTCTAATTGGTGTACAGACAAACCTATGTTTCACATGTTCAAATTATCTCAAACGATCATTTTTCATCTTTTCCTTAATTCGGACTATCTCTAATTTTCCTTAAATCTTTATTTCTGATTTTATCTTTTCTAGTCATACAACATA